CGGAAAAAAAAAAAAAAAAAAAGAATGTTGGCCTGTCCGCAGTAGACAGAGGGGGTTTCAGTCCTGACTTCCCTACCTAACTGCTGTGTCACCTTGGTGAACCATTTCCACATCCTGAGCCTCAGTTTCCCCACCTGCAAACTGAAGATATCTACCCTGTAGAGTTAATAAGACAAAGTGGGAAGTCCTCCACACCTCTTATTCTCCCCTGCTATGGACCAGATCCCTCAGGGCACCCGGAATGCCAAGACAGGCAGGACAGGCAGCCCCTGAAGGCTGACCCCATTGCTAGAGGGCAAGAACAGGAGCCAGGAACCCTGCCCAAGGGCACCAGGGAAAGCCCTGGGGAGAAGTTTGAGAGGGTCCTGAAGGATGAATAGGAGTCTTCCAAAGGACTCTGAAGAGGACTGCTCGAAGGCCTCACACATGTACAAAGACAGGGTTGTGAAGGGCATCGGTCCACATGAGAGGGGCTGGGTGTATGAGACGGTTTATGAGACAGTTGAGGAGTCGGGCTCGTTGGCTCGGCCTGTAATCCGGCGGGTTCGAGACCCGCCTGGGCAACTTGGCGGGACCTCATCTCTACCATAAATCAAAAAAAATCGGCCGGGCGTGGTGGCACGCGCCCATAGTTCCAGCTACTCGGAAGGCTGAGGCGGAAGGATCGCCGGAGCCCAGCAGGTAGAGGCTGCGGTGGCCGAGAGCGGCCTCTGCACTCCAGTCTGGGTGACAGAGTGAGACTCCAACGCAAAAAAAAAAAAAAGAGACGGTTGATGGTCACAGCTGTGCACAGCAGCCCCCAAGAGGACGGCAGGGGAGAGGAGGTGCGGCGTGGTAGGGAGAGGTGAGGAAAGAGATTCCGGCGGCACCCCTCCTCTGGGGACGGAGCGCCCTTGCCCAGAGGCCCTCGGCTGTGCAGAGGCAGGGCCGGGCAGGGAACCAGGCACCTGAGCTCCCGGGTAGACAAAGTTCAAGTGCTTCAGCGCCCGGCTGGGGAGAGCCTGGAGCCAGGCACTGGAGCCAGCTGTGGGGACGGGGCGGGAGGCGACAGACGCAGGAGGCCAAGATGACCTAGTTACCAGTGCCCGT